AATACAAATTATCCAAGAGTATTACATTTCCGTTTTGACTATTTAAGTTAGAAATATATCAAATGCTTTTTTAAAAAAAAAAAAAAAACACATATGGAAATAAATCTGCAACTGGGATACTCTATGTAACCACGGAAACCCTCATTGTGACATCTGTGCAGCCCGGCGACAGGCGTGGCCAGTGAGGCCGTAGGTCACTTGCGATTGGTCATGTAGGACAGCCCCATGAAAATGGGTGTTAGATATTGTTACGTTGTGTTGAATTAACCCATTGGCTGACTTTGCTTGTGACGTCATAGGTCATAGGTCATAGGTCAGAAGGACCAGAAGCCCTGGCATTACTGAGATATGGAAAACCGGGCTGGCCAAATGCAGTCATACAAAAAGCCGGAGCAGCCATGAATGCGACTGCGAGAGCAGCACCAGCAAATGTTACCTTAATCGTTTACCAAACAGGCAGGCCTGTGATTGCAAAGAGCATTTCATACTTGCCTAATAGCTGGCTTGGACACACGGGCTGGCACACATCTCCGGGAATGATGAAGCTTTTACATTCTCCAGCCGGCGGTCCTGTCGTCTCAAAGGCAGCAGCTGTGTCTATGAGTTGATGTTTTTTTCCTCAGATCTAGCAGAATCTCAGGCTGCATCAAGCTGGTTTTGAAAGGAGGACTCATCTTGAATGGAGGAACGAAGGCAATTTCCCTTTAGTGAGAGTGCAGGGTGGGGGGGAAATGGGACTGGAGCTCTGGGGCATCAGTCGGAGGAAGCCATCTTCAAGATGGCTCAGGCAATTCCGAGAACGAGGACACTGTCAGCCCATCAGGGTGAAAGATCAGTTTGAATGATCAGTTCTATTTATTAGCAAATCAAACTCACTGAATTATAAAAAAAACATCGGATTAATAAACCTGCATAAACAAAGAAAGAAATAAAAGCCTTTGGATGTCAGAATGCAGGATTTATACAATTCCTTTTGCAATCATACTCTGCACACATCATGCACCATCAAAAGAGAAGATCATTTCAGTCTCAAGACTAGATTGAATTTAGGCACAGAAGGGCAGCTATGAATGGGGCTTTTTTCAGAAATAAGTAACCAGACCCTCCAGAAATATATTGACTCCTCATCTGTCTTCACCCCACCAGTGACCTGTGACATCTGAAAAAATATTATGAGATTTTATTTGCCCTTGGGGTGGAGTCAGAGCTTTCCCCCTTTGGGATTCAAACAAAAACACTACTGTTTTGGGTCATTTTAGAGACCGTGTTTTACTGCAGGCCACCAGCAGGGTGAGACACTGAGGAGGAACAATATCATTTCAGAGGATGATGGTTGGGATGGTGGCTGACTGATTGACAACTTCACTCATCCCTTAGTGGGATATGATTTTCATGGGCTCAGCCATCTGGTCCACCAATCACTCCACATATATGAGGCAGTGTGCTGTCCTAACATTTACTTAAACATCTCAGAGCCGCTGAGGAATTAACGCATTACTCATACTGCAAGCAATGTTCTTGTAATATAAAGAGCACATGCGAAAACACTCTCCAAATAAATTTTAAAGAACTGAATTATTGGGGAAATATGTGTCAAACATATACTAGCCAGTCATATTAATTCTGAGAGTTTATGATTCACATTTTTTCATATTGTAGGAGTGTATATGTATAGTTTACCCCTGTTGTGTTGCCTAATTGTAAAAAGGTCTACATTACTGGTTACTGGTATCTTCTTCAAAGACAACAACATTCTGAGAGTAATTCTAAGTTGTTCTCAATGACTCCTGTTTTTTTTTTTTGTCCCATTACAATCAGATCACCTCATTGATATCACTCTCTTCTGGATTTGCAGGCCGTAAAAACACATACAGCCTTGCTCCAATAGAACTGCACTTCGGTTGATTACAATTGGCTCTCATCAGGCACAAGAATCAGAAAAGATTACTGATAAGACCAACAGCTCCTTCGAGCAAAATGACAATTCAGAGAATGAAAATCTTGATATGATTTGTGGGGCTGGAACAAGAAAATGGTTTCAGAATTCATGTTTCAGTGGTTGATGACTTGGGCAACCAAAAATAGTCCCAATGAGAATATCTAGTTGTTATTTAATACAGACATTATCTATTGCTACAGATAACTGTCCCAGTTCGTGCCAATTACTTGCACATGAAACGCTACGTATACAGTGTGTCTTTATTTTACAGCTTTATACAAAGATGTAATTTCTGAAGCACCTGTCCAATAAACATATTTAGATGATTTTCTTTACTGTATAACACCACCAAGTGTAGTGCCAGACCAGGATGATAAAGTTATACAGGGAACAATTCATTTACAGACGCATACTCACACCATGAAAAAAAATCTGGCGGACTGCTTGTCTTTTTCGGAATGGAAAGCACAACATTTAATTGGGCCAAACGGGAAAATCTTGCAGAAAAAAAACCTATTTTGAAACTGCCTGGAAAATGCGGCACTTCACATAACAAATGTCTTTCAGTTTTCTGTTTCTGGCAAGTTTTTTCGGGCCACTTCCTGTCCAGTGCAGCTCACACTGCAGGCCTCACTGCCTGGCTGATTCACTTCAGAGTAAAAGCTGACCGTTTGCCATCTGGGGTGGACTTACCTACAGGTATGATATTATGCTTTCAGTCATGGACCTAAAGTTCTCTGATAGCAGCCAGAATTTCCCCCTGGGGAGTTTCTGTGGGACAACACTGGTTTTTATCTCTGCTTTTGATCCGGAGGCAGAAAGGCCAGGATTCACAAAAGACTGCAAATCGCTCTGAACAAAATTGTTCAAACTTTTGATGACCAGTCACTCCATTCCCATTACCTAAATGGCTAGGAATGCTTAGTCCTCTAAAAATCAGGTATAAACTCTAGTCCCCACTGAATTTCCTGTCCCCCAATGATCAGGTATGAATTGGTTCTAATCTGGTCATGCCCTACTGTACCTGTCGTACCCTCTGAAAACCAGGTAAAAATTCCTTTCCCCATAATGATTTGCCCTTCCTGTCTGCTTTTCACAATCAGGGAAAAACTCCCAACTGCCATCAAATACTATTACTCGTTTGGAGTGCCTACAGAACGGAAGCACTTTATTCAATTTTACACAACGGAAATGTCAGCAAATTTCAATACTGAGGCCGGCAGATGGAGGGGGGCTAAAGCTTTGGCATTTACAGGTCTTACCTTTTAAAAGCTAGGCACACATCTAAACAAGAAGACACATCTATCTGTTTCGGATTAGCAGGAGTTTTCCTTAAGAAAAACCGTCTGACGAGGAGGTCAGATACAGGCAGTGTAGGCAGGCTGCACAACTCAGGCTAATGAAGAACTGCACGTCTCTTCAGTGCCGTTCAGCGCGCGACGGGGCAGAAGCTGGCTTTGTGCTCGGGTTAGAGGAGTGGCACCTTGCCATTCATATTCAGAAATCCCTTCTGGGATAGAAGTTTTTTTTAAGAAGGATTATGGTAGAGGGTAACAGAGGTGGGGGCAGCGAAACCTTAACCCCCTATTTTTTAGCGGTCTAAAAACCATGCTCACAAGAGCGTTTCTTCTAGACATCCCGTGTCAGCACTGCCAGTCGAATGACAGTCAGTGCACCACCAATCGTGATGCAGGATCTCCTCGCAGAAAAAAAAATTCCGTTGAGGACATCTTCAATGGGTGTGGGGGGACTTCGTCAGAAAAATCTGTGGTGCAACAAGGCTTGTTGCGGTTGCGTCAGTGTGGGGCCGTGGAGAACATTTCCACGATCGGAGCTGGGTTACGGTGAATGTGATGGTGAACATTTCCACGATCGGAGCTGGGTTACGGTGAATGTGATGGTGAACATTTCCATGATCGGAGCTGGGTTACGGTGAATGTGATGGTGAACATTTCCACGATCGGAGCTGGGTTACGGTGAATGTGATGCTTACCTTTGTCTGGGAAATTCCTCTTGTTTCCATGAACAAACATGTGAAAAGAAGTATGTGGAAAATCCCTAACCTCACAGCAGTCTGCCTAGAAGCATGTTTTGCTCTATAATCACAAAAATATATTGTAATTCCAGTCCCATTTCCATTAAAAATGAGCATTTTTCTATGCAAATGACATTGTTTATTTACCTTTATGTTTTGTTTTTTTTAACATTACAGAATTAAGTCAACTGAACTGTATTCATTTCTCACAGGCAATGTCCACTAACAATATTTATGATTAATTTACAGCAAAGCAGATGTGTAACCAGTACAGTGATCCAGTGGGCATCAATAATAGACCTGTCAGATGAGATGATCTGCCGGCGTTGATGCCTTTTTGCCTTTCATCAAAGGCCGGGCGAGATTAAACAATGGGCACTTCGCGGACGCTCGTGCGGTTCGCCTCCAGTTCGCGTGCGCTCACAGTGCCACCTTCTGTCCATCAGGGAGATCTACATCGCTTGGCTTTGATACGAAAAGCAGAGGCGCCCACGTGTTCTGTATGTAACAGTTATTTGACAGAGGTTTTCACCAAAAGCCAGACTGTAATTTTTCACCCTATATCTTGCCTTCCCAGCCATTCTAAACAGAAGCTTTTATCCTATTGTTCCTCCAAAGCCACTCAGAAAAAAATCCATTCCTGATGCATACTTTGACACCCTGCTTTGCTTGTCACAAGGCTGAGAAGGTGGGAATGAGGTGCAACCAGAGCACAAACACCTCTTTATAGACACATTAAAAAAAAAGTTCATGGCTTACTGATCTGTATGACAGCTACTGATAGCTGAAAAGACCAAAATATTACAGATAAATTAAAGGGCCGAGCAGAATGTGACTTAGGTTGGTGTTGGGTGGGCAGTTAAGAGGATTGTCCACCCCACCAGTCTGAAAAAAACTGACCTAGCAGGTTCAGAGAAATAACCAGGTGCTCATTACTGTGAGGGATTGTGGGCAAATTACTAAGAAAGAGGGCAGGGAACAAAAGACGAATCCTTGTGACACACACACATCAAACACCAATTAAGGTGTAAACACATAGCAATGTTAATATTTATTCAGTGTTATTCGGATGTCAACAGTTACAGGGTGAATGTTCTAACTTTCAATGTGTTCATACTAAGCTATGATTTTATGAAACACCAAATGTTCCACAGCAAGTCAGTGATGAGCTCACTGTTACAAGCGACTTGTTAGAGCTGAAATTCAGTCACAGACTTTACACGCGGAGAACTGTGGTCCACTAATATTTTACAATTTTTTCCCCATAACTAGTGAAAGTCTCTCTCTCTCTAGTGTTCAGTGAATTATGCTGGGGCTCTCTGCCTTCGCGATCAGGTAAAGACCTACAGCCAATGGAAGCGCATTCTGACCGTCTGTGGAATGTGCTGCCCCCTGCTGGTCAGTAAGCAGAAGTAAATTAACAGTCAAGGTTCCAAACCTCTTTTATGAGTATGCTGAAGGGAGTTTTACTTACACAAAATTTTTCGGAGGGCAGAACAAAAAATGATTGGTTCACAGAAATAACCAATCAGCTTGTAGATGAATTGGGTCCAAATAATTAGGGGAGGCGGGACAAAAACATCTAATTGGTTGCTTGGACCCACCTCCTCTACAATCTGATTGGTTATCTCTGTAAACCAATCACTTTTTGTTCTGGCCTCAGCACATTTTTGTGCAAGTGAAACTCCCACAAGCTATGAGATTGCCGACGCAGGGTAGAATTGTGAACCACACCTGGGACAAAATCATCAAGGAAGTGAAACTGAAGGCAAAAACATATTTGTGCCCATGGTAGTTACAAATCCCACCCGATACATCCTCACAGTTTATGTACACACGCGCCTAACAGTTAGCTACAGCACAGATCTGGCCCTGTAAGTTTGCTTGCACTCCAGCTGAGCCCATAAATAATTAACCTTAAGAAAGCTGTTGATTGGATTAATCACACAATTTATATTACGCTAACGTGTTTAGCCCTGGGAAATTCTTTTAGCGCCAGTGTTCATGTTTCTGAAGGAAAGCAAGACTGTAAATAAGCAAGCCCATGGGTGGAGAGGCTCTGTGGAATGCTTGGGTAGAGAGGCTCTGTGGAATGCTCGGGTGGAGAGGCTCTGTGGAATGCGTGGGTGGAGAGGCTCTGTGGAATGCTCGGGTGTGGCCGGCAGTGATGTGGATGGAGCAGGAGAGAACAAGCTAAAGAAAACATCATCTTTTGGGCAGGGATGGAGCTACTGTGGACTATGGAGACACAGTCTAACTTGAACTTGCTTAGTTGAAGTTCTTTGGATCAGTCAAATCTAGGGCTACAAGTCAGAAACTGACTGAAAGCTAAATAAAACTTACAGAGAAGTCACGGTACCTTACTGCCCTTCAAAACTGGCTCGCTTACTGCCTGAGCTCCCCGAATGTGGCAGGACAAAGTCCAGCATGGCCAGCTGTGAACCTCTTCTCTTTCTCTCTCTCTCCCTTCACTTTTTCTTGGGTTAGGCCACCCAAGGACCCCTCAGGGCTGGCAGGGAGCCCACTCACGTGCCTGTTGGAAAGGAAATACTGTCCTACCACCTCTCCACAAGCACCCGGCCTGAATGTAAGGCGTTTTGGCTGCTCATTTTAAAAAGAGGCACACTAAACAATGCTTTCTCCTGTTGCTTGGAGACACTGTGGAGAGAAGGAGCCACGTGGTCGGAAGGCCAAACGGTGCTGCGGCGATTCTGCAACGCTGCCAGCTTCCCAATGAAAAGGGCACCCAGCAAAATTAAGGATCCACTTTCCTTGGCAAATTAGGGGGACACCCACTGAGTAAACGCCCCTCTGTTTTCTGGTAACTTCTACATCAGCAGTGGGAGGAGTAGTTTGTCAGTGTTTATATTATTTCTTGATCAGATGACTATTTTATGTCCACTTTTCTTAAGTCTGCTTCATGACATGTTGAACTGGGTAGCCTTCATAAGAGCACTATTTTCAGGTTTGGCTCAGCTCCATGGAAACCAGTTGGAATAACTGGCCATTTTATGATGTAATAAAATACTCTGGGAATGACACATCAGTGCCACTCTCCACACACGAAGGAAAAGCCAACGTCTTCTTTCGCGGTGGATCATTTCACGTGTATTTCCATCCTAACCCGACACTGGGAGCAGCTGGGGCCAAGTTCTTACAGATGAATTGCAGTCTCGCCCCGATTGTCCGTGGAGGTCTCATTGCCAAAGGCTCTAGCGGAAAGAGGCCCTGACAACCCGGTCGCTAAGTGGCTGCGTTGGGCGAAAGTTGTCTCCTAGGAGACTGTCGCTGCCCTCGAAAGGCTCCTCCCCCTTCCTGTGGGTCCGCAGACGCCGGAATTCATCCATCTATGAGGGAGAGGTCACCAAAGTCTCAGAGCAAATGCTGATAAACCTGTCTAGAGGCCTACTACCTGAAAGCAGAACTAACAGTACCTCTATCTTCATATGGCTTTGAGTGAACTTTTTCCTTCATATGGGTTTGAGTGAACCTCAACCTTCATATGGGTATAAGTGAACCTCTACCTTAATTTGGATTTCTATGTAGCTCGGCCTTCATACAGGTTTGAGTGAACCTCTACCTTCATTTGGATTTCTATGTACCTCAGTCTTCATACAAGTTTGAGTGAACCTCTACCTTCATATGGGTTTGAGTGAACCTCTATCTTTATTTGGATTTCTATGTACCTTGGTCTTCATACAGGTTTGAGTGAACCTCTACCTTCATACAGCTTTGAATGAACTTCTACCTTAATTTGGATTTCTATGTACCTTGATATTCGTACAGGTTTGAGTGAACCTCTACCTTCATATGGCTTTGAGTGAACCTCTATCTTTATTTGGATTTCTATGTACCTTGGTCTTCATATGGGTTGGAGTGAAACTCTACCTTCATACAGGTTTGATTGAACCTCTACCTTCATATGGGTTTGAGTGAACCTCTATCTTTATTTGGATTTCTATGTACCTTGGTCTTCATATGGGTTGGAGTGAAACTCTACCTTCATACAGGTTTGATTGAACCTCTACCTTCATATGGGTTTGAGTGAACCTCTACCTTCATATGGGTTGGATTGAACCTCTACCTTCATACAGGTTTGAGTGAACCTCTACCTTCATACAGGTTTGATTGAACCTCTACCTTCATACAGGTTTGAGTGAACCTCTACCTTCATATGGGTTTGAGTGAACCTCTACCTTCATACAGGTTTGAGTGAACTTCTACCTTCATATGGGTTTGAGTGAAACTCTACCTTCATACAGGTTTGAGTGAACTTCTACCTTCATATGGGTTTGAGTGAAACTCTACCTTCATACAGGTTTGAGTGAACCTCTACCTTCATATGGGTTTGAGTGAACCTCTACCTTCATATGGGTTTTAGTGAACCTCTACCTTCATATGGGTTTGAGTGAACCTCTACCTGTTGCTGGGAGACAGTGAGTGGGTAGCGATATAGTACCCAGGTGACATTCTCACTGCAGGGAGGCATGGTAAGAGAGCCCTCATAGACCCAGTAATCTCGAAGGTTGGGATCTGAGAAGGGACAAGCAGACACATCATAGGTTCAAGGGACAGTGACAGATCATGAATTAGAGAGACAGAAATATGTCTTAAGTTAAAGGGACATAAAGAGGTCATTGATCCAGAAACCCAAACACAGAGAGACAGACAGTTCATGTGGGGAAAGAATTTTACAGGCTATTTAAGAAAAAGAAGGTCACCAAAACTGATCTGATGCTAAGCTTGGTTCACTAATGCTAACTTACCAGGGAGCAGCGTGTTAGGGTTGAGGAAGTGGATTGTCTTTGTCTTGCCCTGTTCAGATTAAACAAGGAAGCATACAATTTAAACTGTAGACAAGGTCTTCATCAGTGACAAGAAACTTCAGGAGATGATAAATTATTCAATGTATTGGCATCCTCCATAAATCCGCAGTGACAGGTGGCCTGAAACTGGTACCACAAGCAGATCAGAAAGCTTCAGTGGTGGAAACTGGGTCAGCTCTCAGCCTGCCTACAGCTCGTCTGATTTCAGTTTTCTGAATCAGACACTCCATTTAACGAGCCTCATCTGGATATAAAATAACCATTTAAGTGTGAAGAAGCCATCCAGCGAGATGAATATTTATGAGCCTTAGAGGCACGGCAGTGTGAGACAATCGAGCTTTTCGTGAATTCCTAAAAGTGCTCTTTGTTCCATCAGGTTTTCACAAAAAGGAACGTGATTCTTTTGTGAATTGGTCCCAGAATAATACGTTTCTGAACCACACCTCTGTGTCGCCCTCTCCTGGAGGATCAAGCAAGTGCGTCAGCCATTGTCACCCACCTTGTACTGCAGGTCCGGCAGGATGTCTGTGACTGCTCTCAGACCCAAATGCTCTTGACCTATCTGAAAAAATGTCAAAATATGTTAAAACAAACTAGAAGTACTGTTTTGTTTATTGCCGTCACGGCAGATGGATTGGTCACATAGTTTTGTGAGATTGTATTAATTATATGACTGTCAGAGAAGCCGGTTTGGTCAGTCTGTGTGGTGGGCACAGTTTGGTAATTCAGGTCCAGATAGTAAAACTCCAGACCGGGATTTTGTTTCAACCAACCAGCTGAGCTTAAAGACCCACAGTCACAGAGTACTCAACTGGTTGGTTGAAGCAAAATCCCGGTCTGGACTTTCACTCCCTGGACCTGAATTACCCAACTCTGATGGTGGGTCACAGAATTCTGATTGTCAAGGGGGAAGAGTACCTGCACAAACAGAGCAATGATGACGATTCCCTGCCTCCTGCCCACGGCCTCATCGATGCTGCTGTATATGGTCGAGTTCCAGTGAATCAGATGGAGCTGAAATACAGCAGAGATTAGGAAAGACAGTGGACATTGGGAAAGAAAGACACTGGACACTGGGAAAGGGTCGTGGAAATACCCAGCATGTCCATTAGGCGTCGTGACTCACCTCCATGGGAAAGGCCTTGAAGTTAACGGTGTGCTCGGAGCCGCGCTGGTTCTCCCTGCCCCAGTGAAAGCACACCTCATGCAGCTTAAACTCCTGCTGCCTGGGCAGGGGTCCCCCCGTCACCACTGGAGTAGTGGGAGTCAGAGTGTATCCTTACATTTCAGGTTCAGCTACTTTATTCATAGCTCTGTTCTCATATTGCTGAGCCATTTTGCTAGTACCTGACTTTGATTTCGGCAGGATGTGCACGGTGCGTCCATCATTGATGACCTCACAGTCCCGACATGCCACGTAGCTGGGCTCCAGTTTGACCTCCAGCAGCACTGGGTCATACAAGGCCTCACGCGAGTTGAGGTTGATGGGGGACTGGTATTCGCCATTGGCCTGGGGAAACAGTAGACCCCACTCCACACCTGAAACCAGACCAAAAATGGGAGGGGGTCTGTGGTCAGTCTGCATTCTGGCAACAATGACACGTAGTTCAACATGTGGTCAGCGGTTATAAAGAAAATCATTAGCATAAAGCCAAGGCCAGTGCAGGCAAGTTTTTGTTTATTTCAGACAGTCCCAAACCAAACACACATGCTATTATGCATACGTCTTAGGCAGTCAAAGAAAATATTTAAGGCTATTTATGTTGGCAGTAAGTGTGTATTTGCTCAAAAAAGTACATTTTAACGCTAAAACATATGCATTAACAGAAACACAAGAATAACTAAAAAGAATTTGTTCTGTTCTTGTCCGATGGCTAGATGAACACCGCTTCAGTTCCCAAACCTCTCCTCAGGGGCACCTCAGCCATTTGTTACATTTCCTCATCGGCTCTCTTAATTAATTCATGTAATTAGTTGAATAACTCAATGAGGTATTGAATAGTAAAACAAGGTGGGGTAGAGGTTCAAAAGTCAAAAAACACATGGATGTTTTGGCCGGTTGCTGCAGTTATTGGGGTGTCTTTAGGGCTTCTGAAATGGCTGAGCTGACACACTCTGACAGACATTATGTCACAGTTTAATGTCATTATGTCACCAACATGAACATCATTTAAGCATCGTTTTCTTTGACTGCCTAAGACTTTTATACTGTACTGTATGTCAAACTCCAACCAATACAACCGAAAGAAAAACTTCTGCAAATGAGTAGGATGAAGTAAAACTTATGAACTCCCCTGTTACAAACTGTTTATCACTCGTATTTTCTTACCACGTTTACTGTGAGTGTTTACTGTGAGATTGGGGAATCAGGAGCATTCATACTCTCTTCTTCTGTTTTAAACCTGACTGTAGGTAGGAGTGGAATGATAAATGACGGGGAGGGAGAAATAGACCATCTGTCCTCTGATACTCAGAAAGAACCTGCTGACCTATATTACAACATAACTGTTGGAATGCAGTAATGCAGGTCCTGCAATGAGTATAGCGCAATACTGGACCATTTATCAAGAAGGAAAGCCTCCATCTGGGACCAAGGCGTGCAGAAAGTTGACATCTCTATTGCAATTAATGACGTTCACCAAGTAAAGTATGAGTTCTGAACACCCATCCTTTCTACTTTCAGATGTTCGTCCAGCAAATGGCTTCCAGGAGCCTGGGTCCATAACAGGAAGCATAGCCTTTGAGGCAGGAAAATCCCAGGATGGGACGCAGGTCCATCACAAGGACCTCCACTGCTCTGCACCGATGGGACGCAGGTCCATCACAAGGACCTCCACTGCTCTGCACCGATGGGACGCAGGTCCATCACAAGGACCTCCACTGCTATGCACCGATGGGACGCATGTCCATCACAAGGACCTCCACTGCTCTGCACCGATGGGACGCAGGTCCATCACAAGGACC